GGACCACCAGTGCAGATCATAAGAAATAATTTACAATATTGCCTACTGCTTCCGTCTCCTCCATTTCTTGAGCCCTACTGATCCGCCGTCCTTCCTTGTTAACACATGGGCTCTACTTTAGTTCGCGCCTAGTAGTCCATCTGCTTACGTTGTGCTCAATGCCAGCAGGGTGTTTTCTTCTGGATGCCAAAACGTCCATCGGAATCTCGGATATCTAGTGATTTGTACAATGACCGATTTTGCCGCAAGCAGACGCTCACACCTGTTACACGGAACCCGTGGGTCTATTCTATCCTCCTCCTCCTCATCATCATCAATGCACGTTTGCCGAGGGTGAGAAACACTCCTCTGCTAAGGTGCCGCAATGCGGAAAATTAGACATTAAGCGATGTAAAATTTATAATTGAAATAATGCTAATATTTTACTTTTGATCGCTGTTGGAGGGGGAAGCTAAAGGAAAGGGAAGGAACGAAGAGAGCAACCACATAAATACCACTGAGATTGAGTCTTTGCCATATCGGCTACTATATATAGCCAAACGTACTAATCATCCTTCGGTCCCCAGCCAGGCAGTCGGGAAACACAGGCTATTCCACTTAAGATCTATGTCTGCAAGGCGAGGCGGTAAGCGAATTGTTTTTTAATCTCCATCTACTTTACAAATGACTGCAGTTGTTTCGCAACCCATGATTTGCACCGCCAATTTCAGCTTTTGAATATAGGTGGCGAATTCGGTACCATTTTCCTTAACTTTCATTGCACAGGTCGATCACTTGTTGCCGTGTTAACGTCAACTTACTAAACCTCACCTAGCCAATCGGGGTCGCTCAGCTAGTAAACACATTACTTCCCCTTGGAACAATCCTTGGTTTCTCCTGACCACAAATTCTAAGTGTTACTCTGTAGTCTTTTATGTTCCGTACTATTGCACTCCACTATCGATCCATTATTAGTACACGAAGGTGTACATTATGCATATGGTGTAGTCTTCGGTGAAGTAGACATGCCTAGCGTGACAGTCAACTGCGATTGCATGCTATGGCCTTGGGGCGCCATTTTTCTGTTGCCAAGCGCACAAAAGTCAAACGTGAGATCAGACTTTTGTAATTGCATAAGGCCGCTGGTGCAGATAGAATTCCCCCAGCTCTCTACAAATTCGGGAGATGTGCTCTTGTGGATTATTTACACGAGTTGCTGATGGAACTTTGGGAGCAGGAAACTGTCCCGAGAGACTGGAGCCGCTCCGTCATAGTTCCAATTTTCAAGGGAGGCTCCCGTTCGGAATGCGATGACCAGGGAGGGATCAGTCTGATCACAACTACCTCTAAATTACTTGCCTCTGTCGCTCTCCACAGACTGACTGGCGCTCGTGAAGGCCAGATCCACGAAGAGCAAGCCCGGTTCCGTCGAAATCGAGGTTGCATCGACTACATCTTCACTTTGCGTCAAGTGTTGGAACACCGCCTTGTTTATTGAGGACCCACCGTTGTCGTGTTTCTCGACATCAAAGGTGCCTTCGATTCGGTGGATCGATGCGCCCTTTGGGAATGTCTGCTGAAAAAAGGTTTGCCCGATAACGACGTAAACATTATCAAAGCGCTGTACGCGCATAGTTCGGGCAGGGTTAGGGTTTATGGCAAACTTTCGCCGCCCCTCAATATCTCCAGCAGTGTGAGATAAGGTTGCAAGCTGTCGCCTTTCCTCTTTAACTTCCCTGTTGATGAATTCATGGAAACAGCGTTCGCTGGACACGACCTAGAAGGTGTGGAGCTACTTCCTGATGAGCGACTTCTTGACTTGGAGTATGCGCACGACGTTGCCCTCATATGTGACAGCGTTCAAAGGTGCCAGGCTGCACTGGACCGATTTGCACTGGTTGTCAATCGTTTGGGTTATGTTTTGCTCCCTCGAAATGCAAAGTTCTCCATGATTGGCAGGGACCCACCCTTGCGCTAACGCTTTGTGACAATCAGTTAGAATCGTTCAGGAATTAAAGCACCTGGGGAGCTATATTAGCGCCCGTGGGATCGAAGACGGGGGTTACGAACCGTACAGAAAAAGCTCAAGGTGCTTTTGCCAGTCTCCTCCACCTAGGGCGCAGACGCGACATTACTCTTGCCCTGAAGGTCAGAGTTTATAGTGCAGCCGTCCGTTCAACCCTCATGTGCGGTTGTGAAACCTGGCCCATCAGATCGACAGACATAAAGAAGCTCATCCCATTCGATCATCGCTGCCTCCACACCCTAGCTCATGTCTGGTGGGAGTACCGCATGAGCAATGAGCGTGTTCGGCGTCGCGTATTCGGTGCAGAAAGAGCTAGCGAACTGCTCAGCACCATTATATCACGCAAGAGGCTCCGATGGCTGGGCCACGTGTTGCGCATGCCAGCACACCGACTCCCGCGACGTGCATTGTTTACGCGCCGGGGGTGCGGTTGGGAAGCCAAGCGATGAGTTGGTCGAGAGAAATGAAAACCCTTACTTCGAAATTAGTGTCGGTTGGTGCATCCCGACTGCCTGGCTGGGGTTCTAAGGACGATGAACACGTTTGTTGGACACACCTGCTGGTATGACGAAGAGCCCGCCCCAATGGCGTTTGTGTTGTGAGTTCCTTCGTCCATCCCCTCCTGCTTAACCTCCCCCTCCAATCACGATCTCATTCTTTAGGCATAATATAACTTTTTACGGCACGATAACCGACTGTTAGCTCTCCGGAACGCTGCCCATCCGTTTCGGTGTACTCAGGCGGTGTGCCACTGTTGTATTTTTTCCTTCTTGTCCTTAGTATTGCGGCACAATAGCTGAGGTGTTTTCCACCTACAGCTAACGTGCATAATGAATGAATGAATGCACATGCTACATACTTTTAGTTTTTGTCAGCAGTCCATCTTTTAGGGGCTACATCATCTGTTCACTTCTTCCCAAAAAATCATTGGTGTTAAATGCTTACACGAGTCCAGCTGGCGAGATACTTTGTACATCTTCCTAACTCGTTTATTTCCTATGTGTGCGACCATACTGCATTATTGCTTTACCCTGATACCTGGGGTGGTTAAGTGGCTCAGCTTATAGTTATAACCCCCAGTCGTTCCGTACAAGCGAGTTATGCGTTTCATTCTTTGGCATTCGAGTTCATCTAGTCAATCTCCACCACACACAAATGCAGCGTTAACTTATGGCGTTACTGCCTATATCACGCGCAAAGATGTAAGGTGTATGAGAAGACGACATCTGAACGGCGCGATTACACTTATCCGTGCATCTTTCTGCACGGCACGGTACGCGTTTGCAAGTTCTCACGGTGTAGCTTTTGCTCGCTTTCTGGCAGTTTTTAAACCTTGCATCAGTTTGTTTAGTGCCAGGCCTATTGCGTTCACAGAGATGCCACAGGAAATGAAAACAAAATGAAGATTTATTCTTCAACGTTTCGAGGCACTCCATACTAGGCATGATCAAAACTGTACAAGCAACGACGTTTCGCTAAGTTCATGATGTATTACATACAGAAACGTGAAAATGTATGGTGTACTTGTGAGAAGCAACACAGTGCTGTGTTGGTAGTGTGGGATCGAATATGTTTAACGAGGATATGTAAAAATGTGTGAGCATACGCATCAGAATTAGTGGTACGTGAAGTAGGCAGACTTGCCAGGGTGATGCAGAGGGCAGTGACTTTATTTGGTGGCGAGTCACATCCGTCACGTCGCAGTGTTGTTAAGCAGACATCGTCTTGACCTTAGTACCAACTGTTACTATAACGAAACCAGGGAAGTCCTATCTCGCCTTGTGACGCTATGTGATGTGTCTCGTTAAGATTTGCCATCCAGTGTATGGTAACATAAGATGCATCTTGTGCAAACGGTAGCCTCATTGGTTTGTCAGCACCAGTGCACTGTGGTCTTTTCGGCCACTGTTCTATGTGACAACAGTGATAGAGATACATCACTTTTTCTAGCACTCATCCGCATCGGACACATGGTTAAACACACTTCGCTCTGAGATGTGCTATTTTGATACCCGTGTGTTAATTCCGTGGAGAAAACCTAGTGTTTTAAGTCTCCTAGTTGGTCACTGAAATCTCACCACCTTTTCTCTTGCACTCAGCTTATGACAGGTTAAACGGTTACGAAATGAGCGCCAGCGCTTTCACTCTGTGATGGATAGGCCGCAGAGCTACATGTCCGCACACTGCACTTACCTTTGTGAATGTTGAAGATATTAATGGCCTCCACTCATTCGCTTGATTCAGACCACAATAATAACTGCATACTTCTGGCATTGGACGACATTGGGTTGGAGCCTCTTAGCTGCAGCTTTGTGTAGAAACTGAGAAATTGGTGTACTCATTTTGGTGTCTGCGAGCTACCCCCTCGTGTAATGGCCGAGCACGTGACTACCTAGCAAACGTTAGTTTGTACTGGTAATCTCGAATGTTCCCAGGCTTTTCACTAGTGTTCTGAGCATTTTACTTCTTTCAGCTGACGATCACACCTCGTTGCAACCCTGCTGCCTCATAATGAGCTTTCCAAACATAAGAACCGTAAGGCTGAATCTTTGCTGTTCTATCAATCTCGTTTGATTGGTATTCTTCCTCTTACGTTCAGTTTGCTTGCTCTCTCGTTCTTCACCACCCTGTAACATTATTTCAATACCCAAAATGTTGTTTCATATTCTGATTCGTAGAGCCTCAGAGGCTATCCTCATAAGTATCTAATGACCGGGTGACTATGTTCTTTCCGCCTTTGCTATCTCCGTTATCAGATCCTAGATCTTATCTGAAGGTACTATCCTTCCTTGCATGTTGGATAACGGAGGTGCATTTCGCTCTCACTGAGTTGTCTCTTCCAAGTATATAGGTTTCATTCCTTACGTGTATGCTCCGTTGTCACAAATTACCTCTTCAATCCTTCACTTCGGTTTTCCTCCGGAGTTCATCACATCAGCATGGATATTATTTCTTGTAACTTCGTGCTTGCATTCTTCATCTCAAATCTCATCAGGGAGTGGGACCACAACAACCGACGAGCAAACGTTGCCATGACTGCCACAGCATCGTTGGTATCCAATTTGGCCGCATCAGTTTGAAACAAATACACCCTGCTGGATGTCTTGGTAAGCACTATTCTTCTAGATCCCTAGTCGTCAATTTAAGTACATCAATATTTAATGTTGATGCTCCACTACCATATAGCCGTTATTGCCGTACTGTTGGGGGACGATAAGAGGATTGAAAACATGATTGAGACACCTGCATCGTACCACTACTGCGTGGCCACAAAGCTGTCAATCTTACCACGTATATGAGTCATATTTTATTCTTGATTAATGGACCTCCGCGCTTCTGTATTCCTTAGGTTTTGGTCTCAGTTCTTGCATTGCGCACTCCGTTTTTATCAGTGGCTATTTTTCCCAAACATTTTCCTTTCCATTTACATAGTCTTCTGTGATGTACTCTATGCTTCGAATGCTGGTTATCTTACCTGTTTAACGGTTTCCTTTTGTGTCGTGACCATGTAGTCTTGAGAATGCGATGTGACACTTACATGGTTTTCAGCGTCCTCTTTTCCATATTGTTTTATGTCTGAGCTATTTTTACCGAAGCCTGCCTTTGTAGTCATGAGGCTTTGCGACAGTTACTTTGACTATTCTCAATATCATTGCCCAGTCAATTCACTCCATAACGCTTTCTTGAAAACCTGTGGCGTTTGAGCATTCCAGCGTGTTGTGCTCGGGTTACTTTGCGTTATTCAATTCCTTAGTTCACTCATGCGTGGATCATATTCCCTACAGAGGTGGTTTTTCTGCCTTAGTAAGCCTTTTCATGGGTGCACCTCATATCAGGCACCAGCCCACCTTGAGTTCACCACAAAACAGATTTGTTTCACCACGAATCGGTTGTGGCATCATATTGTCCTAGGCGATTCACTGCTTATCTTTTCGGCCGAGTTTCGTATATTTTCCTCTGAAATCTGCAGTGCTTTGTCATTAGTTCTGCTCGAGCCTCACGTTGGTTTCGCACTATTAACTTCGTTCAGTTTGCGTCTTCCCATTTTATCCATGAATCAGCTTAGGATTCGAAACTGCTTCTTTTAATAAGTTGCTTTGGTTTTTCACCGTAGGCTATTTGTCTCTCCACACCACAGTTCGTTTCTTGTACGTAACCTAAGTCAACCACCACTCACGGTGACAATTTTGTGATCCCGTTATGGATTGTTTTATGCCTTCTCCCCCCACTGCACATATCATAACGCGCCGCTTTTTAGGCACATACATATCACTTCTGAAAAAATTAAACAAATTGCAACTATCGCGCACTGTCATTGGCGAACTTAGTGCGTTCGACACTTCAAATTTGGCTATATTTCCCCGAACTCAGATGTGGCGAATCTAGCCATTGGTCGTTGTTCATATAAGTTTTGCCCCAATCGTGTCACGTGGTACCTACAGCAAGCTGTTGTTAATTTAAAAAAACCTCGCATTTGGTGAATCGAATTACTTGTTACCCTATCAGACCATGAAATGTACCCTGATCATGGGTGCCGGTCCTCAGGGTCAAGCCAGCGTAATTGCTCCCCCCCACACAGAAGCGCTGGATGTGCAAGTTACATAGCATTTTTTCACTGACTTGCTGCTTCCATGCAGTTGTGCTTGCGGGACTGTACAGTTGCACTTCATTACTGCGTGGCAGAGCCGACGGCAAACCTTCGTTACTTTAAAATGCCATCCTGCCATTCTCATATGGCTATGACGCTTTACAACCACATTATACATTTTTATTACTGGTCCTTATCGCACAGTATGGACGTAGTAAGCTGCAGATCACCTTAGTTGACACCTGAGACAAAACTCCTTGAGCTCTCAGGAGTGCATACCGAATTGATCACGGAAGTTGTTGCCCCCGGTTACATCTCGTTGCAAATGAATCTTAGGATCTAACCACCTGTATTTCCATTTTATTCAACCTAGCAGCATCATTAATGTACCTAGTATGCAGGACTGATGCGGTTTAGTCCGTTCTGTGTGAATGGCGTGATGTAAGCCAAGATACGTGCGATAACATCTTTGCTTAATATGAACTATGTCTTCTGCACTCAGTATGTGGATGTGCCGATGTTGGAGCTGACGAGGCATATGCCCTTTGTCGGTTCTCGAGTTATGATTGAACGACTGGCGTGCTCTTGGGAGTGTTGCTTTTCCAACACCGCTACTAGTTTCAGGGGACTGCTGATTTTTACTGACGAACGAGGTGTGTTTAGCCTTGACCGTACTAGATTCAATAAATAAGTACATCGTAAATCGTCGCTGTGTAAGTATAGTATGTTGCCGTCGCTTGGCCGAAAGGATCACAAGCCTGCCTTGTAACCCCGTGATCGAGGATTCGATCCTGCATAGGGGACCAGGCGACCCTCGCAGTATCCTTATCTCCTGCGCGACTGGTGGACGTTGCGTGGTGGCGATGCATCGGTATGGTGTGCCGGCGTACTACTGATATCGTTTTATCTACCTATCGTATGCATGTTTCCCTACTTCGTATAAGCGGCTTCGATCTACACGCTTCTCGTTCTTATGCTTTCTGTTTCACATTGGATATACAGTTTGTTAATGGGACCGTTCAGCGCAAGCCACTCATAGTGTTTCTGCTGGCACGCCTCATGATGGGTCACACCCACTGACACGACTTTGGAGACTCGCTTCAGTAACTGCATAATTTGTCTTCCCCAAAGGCCTTTAGTAGATCATGAACGATAACGAGTTAACGAATTTTGTGAACTAATTTAGACTTAGCCTTCTGACAGTATTCATCAATGCAGATTGAGTTTATTCAGTTGTTTTGACTATCGTACACTCCTCTCATTGTGTTCCCACTATCGATGATTGTAGACGTAATGGGATTCACTCCTACATTAGCCACTTTCGCATTAGCCTTTTACTTTGGGCAGGTCACGAAACATTGTCCATTACGGGCTAACCCCATATTCCTCATAGATTAGTTAGGAATGACAAAATTTGGCAGCTAGATTGCCTACTTGACACACAACTTGCCGTGATATGCATCATAGCGCACGTGAGAATTCTGGCTGTCAGTAAACAGAACGTTCCACTTCCGCTTCCACTTGTTAGTAGTTCCCCGTGTGGCATCTGTATTTCGGCCTATATAAACTGTTAGCTCACATCCTCAGTTTCTTTATGTTGAATTCCCTCGTGGTTTTGCGTCTTGGTTGTCCAGTTTAATTCCCTGTGCCTCGTTACCGGATCAATCTCGTTTCCCGCTATATCAATTTTTTTCAAAAATATATCTTAATACACTGGACTGTCATTAGTCTTAGACAATATACATCACATGTGTTGGTCGCTTTCTAGCTGCGTCGGTTTTCTAGTGTTACCTTATAGATCAAAAATTTGGTCGCTTCTTGATGTGGACGCTATTAGGCTGAGCGTGTTTGACCACCGATGGTTGCCAGTTGTAGCGTCTTGGAGAACCGCATTGTTCATCATTCAGTGTTTGCAGACTCTCCTGTGGAAATCGAGCCGCATTCAATGGATCGGTCTTGGGTTCCGCATACTTGCGATTCGGTCATCTCAGTGTGTTTCGTGTGCCAATACTTAGCCTACTTGGGTAAAGTACTGATTCGCCAATTTGATAACATGACTAGAAAACATGTGGGAACTCGCTGAAAGATTGATATCGGTTGGTTCTCATGGTCTCTCCGGATTTAGTCCTTTATAACGGTCACATCAGCCGTTGAATGTCTTATCGGAGGTGGCACGGTCAGGAAGTCAATAGCGCTGTTGCGTTCGTTCCCCAATTTCCGACCTTTAACTATTTCATTTGACGGCTTTTTTCTGCCTATTTTTTTCTTTAATTATTGTTGCGGCTACTTGTATTGCTATTCCGGTACACCTATCAGATCTGAGGAACGGAACTGAGCGGACTTCTTATTTCAGTTTGCACAGGAGACCTCTTTGCCAATGTATGGCTGAAGGTCACATAGAATCTAAGTAAGCACAGTTGACTCCAACTAATTTCCCTTTCACTACCTTAAAGCGTCTTGATTGCCATAGAGTGGAGGATTTTTGGGCTGTTGGCACTTCGGGCATTGAACATTACTGCCCGAGTTCTTTTTCGATGTGTGAACGATGATCATTTTTGTGATCTTACGCGGTTTTAGGCCATTTTGTCTACTCAGTTCAATAAACCTAAGCGCTCGGTTTGTGGAGCTACCGGAAATTACATGCTTAGACTCGACTTCCCGTAGATCCACTCCGCGACCCCTATGAATACACGTTCTTATGGCGAAATGGATCACTTGTTAGTCCCGCTACCTGGGGTAATGTTGAATAGGTCCTTTTGTCCGATATGAATCGGTACAGTTACACTACAATGCACATTTACTCGATAGTATCGGCGATAGTAACTAAATAATTATAAGTATGTTGTGTGTTCTCGCTATGAGCGAGACCCGCTTGCGACGGCATGTTCAGGTAAATAAAAGCATTTTCTTCGATCAGGACTGATCAGAAAATGCACAATAATAATGAAAATCGATTTTCCATTTTGATAGGATATAAACGTTGAACGTTGTTTCAGTGTGCATTTTAATGTTGCCCAGGATGTCTGTATCGGGATCGGCAGGCCCTTGAGAATATAAATGCAGAAAGCCTATAAGCTATTATGTAATTGGAAAATGGATGTAACACAACTATAATGTATGCATAAATGCTCTTTACGTACACTGCGAAGGTTGCTTTTCTCAATGCTATTCAGTAGTATCGAATGTTGGTTGTACCACTCACATGATACTTGAGCAAGAGAGGCGTCTAGAAAAGGAAATGTAAGAGTAGACCGCAATAAAAGGAACATTAACAATGGAGACGGAGAGTGTAGAGGTGTGTTCATTTGACTTCCTCCCTCAGTAAACACATGTTAGTGATAACTTTCTGGTTAGCATAACCGTGTAGGAGAAAGAACAAGCATGAAGACGTTAAGTGGAGAGGCTTTCCCACTGCAATATTCACCCTCTGTTGTAGGCTGTTTCCCGAAACCTGAGCCTTGTTCATATGCTTGGCTATTTGTTATGTGACATCCTAATAGGTGGATCACGTTTTGCACA